CACTTGGTGGTGAAACTTCTCGAACTGGAAAGATTTGAGAATGTGTTGGACTTGGTGCGTGGGATTGGGACTTCACTCAGAGAACCGCCCAATCCACCGAGCCCAGCAACCACATCAGATGAGGCCATGACAGAAACAGAGGAGGAGAGAGTCCAAAGGTACCAGAACGCAGAACAATGCGAGGTGTCAGACCCAGATCTCTGGGCCACAATCCATTATGGACCAGCAGATGGAGATGACAATGGAGACGATGCAACCGGAAGCAGAGATGACCTGATGGAATTCTGAAGGGATTCTGAGCGGGACTAGACAGCACCACAGAAGTGGTTCCACAAGCGGTTAGGATAAAAGCCGTCTGTGGGATCCAGTGCACAGATTTTTTTTAGCGCAGAAAACCCCAATAGAAGCGAAACGATGGACTATCCACAGTCCTAAGGGGTGAGACTAGGAATGTACAGACTAGTATTGAAAATACAGTCTGAGGCGGGGTGCAGAAATGTAACGCACCTTGCATCAGTACATGTACATGCCATAGCAGTCATGTTTGTCACTTGACACTGCACAAATCGAGCAGTGTAACATGGTGAGACTTTTGAGGCGCTTTCAACTCAAGGAAAATCCGCAGCTATGAACTTCAGCACATTTTGAAAACATTTTTGTGTTTTTTACTGTCAAAGGATACCAATTAATGGGTATTATTCTATATGATATTTATATATATTTATGGGATATCATGATATATAACCGAGAATATGGGATTTGTCCAAAGATGAGGGCCTTGAATTGCAAGTGAAATGGAAAACAGTGATTTTCTGACAAACCCAAATTGTAGGATGGTGGGTTTCCAGTTTGGGTGAGGCCCTCAGGCGAACCAGTTTCACGAAAAATATTTCTCAATCCAATGGGAACTCTACCAGCATCCAGTAGAACGGTGCCTTCCGTGAAGACCGGATCTGTTTTTCGGCTGAGTTCGATGAGAAAATCTCAGCATCGGATGCAGCTGGATCACCTATTGGGACGCCCGGGAGGGGGATTTCTGACCAAAACAATGACGGCCCCTTTTGATGTTTGCGGCCCAATAACTAAGACCCCCGATGTTTTGATGTAGCGGACTTCAAATGATCTGAATGTCGGTCGTTTTCGCCGGGCTGCCCTCGGTTTTGGACCCACGGTCATTTGACCAGCGTTGGTTGGGTATTGACATCTCCACATTGCAGTAGAGATCTGGCTGCAATGTGACAACCCAATCAAGACATGGAACTTCATGGAACTTTTGGTCTTCAACAGGTGGGCATGGTAGTATAAATGCCCGCTTGCAATGCCAAAAGACAGCCCAGGTGGCCAGCCACTATGGTGCACGATTTTTTCAACCGGGGATGGTGGAATCCCCGTGAAACACTTCGATGTTTCTCCACTGTGTGCAGTGGCTCCTACCTGTGTATGTATAGTTGGTTTCTGATACATAATATTACATAATATTACATGATATTACATGATATTACATAATATTACATAATATTACATAATATTACATAATATTACATAATATTACATGATATTACATAATATTACATAATATTACATAATATTACATAATATTACATAATATTACATAATATTACATAATATTACATAATATTACATAATATTGCATAATATTACATAATATTACATAATATTACATAATATTACATAATATTTCATAATATTACATAATATTACATAATATTACATAATATTACATAATATTACATAATATTACATGATATTACATAATATTACATAATATTACATAATATTACATAATATTACATAATATTACATAATATTACATAATATTACATAATATTACATAATATTGCATAATATTACATAATATTACATAATATTACATAATATTACATAATATTTCATAATATTACATGATATTACATAATATTACATAATATTACATAATATTACATAATATTACATAAGATTACATAACATTGCATAATATTGCATAATATTACATAATATTACATAATATTACATAATATTACATAATATTACATAATATTACATAATATTACATAACATTACATAACATTGCAAAACATTGCATAATATTACATAATATTACATAATATTACATAATATTACATAATATTACATAATATTACATAATATTGCATAATATTACATAATATTACATAATATTACATAATATTACATGATATTACATGATATTACATAATATTACATAATATTACATAATATTACATAATATTACATAATATTACATAATATTACATAAAATTACATAATATTACATAATATTACATAATATTACATGATATTACATAATATTACATAATATTACATAATATTACATAATATTACATAATATTACATAATATTACATAATATTACATAATATTACATAATATTGCATAATATTACATAATATTACATAATATTACATGATATTACATAATATTACATAATATTACATAATATTATATTACATAAGATTACATAAGATTACATAATATTACATAATATTACATAATATTACATAATATTACATAATATTACATAATATTACATAACATTACATAACATTGCATAACATTGCATAACATTGCATAATATTACATAATATTACATAATATTACATAATATTACATAATATTACATAATATTACATAATATTACATGATATTACATGATATTACATGATATTACATGATATTACATGATATTACATGATATTACATAATATTACATAATATTACATAATATTACATAATATTACATAATATTACATAATATTACATAATATTACATGATATTACATGATATTACATGATATTACATAATATTACACAATATTACATAATATTACATAATATTACATAATATTACATAACATTACATAACATTACATAACATTGCATAATATTACGTAATATTACATAATATTACATAATATTACATAATATTACATAATATTACATAATATTACATAATATTACATAATATTACATAATATTACATAATATTACATAACATTACATGATATTACATGATATTACATAATATTACATAAGATTACATGATATTACATGATATTACATAATATTACATAATATTACATAATATTACATAATATTACATAATATTACATAACATTGCATAATATTACATAATATTACATAATATTACATAATATTACATAATATTACATAATATTACATGATATTACAGAATATTACATAATATTACATAATATTACATAATATTACATAATATTACATAATATTACATAAGATTACATGATATTACATGATATTACATGATATTACATAATATTACATAATATTACAAAATATTACAAAATATTACATGATATTACATAATATTACATAATATTTCATAATATTACATAATATTACATAATATTACATAATATTACATAAAATTACATAATATTACATAATATTACATGATATTACATAATATTACATAATATTACATAATATTACATAATATTACATAATATTACATGATATTACATGATATTACATGATATTACATGATATTACATGATATTACATGATATTACATGATATTACATGATATTACATGATATTACATGATATTACATGATATTACATAATATTACATAATATTACATAATATTACATAATATTCCATAATATTACATAATATTACATGATATTACATAATCTTACATGATATTACATAATATTACATAATATTACATAACATTGCATAAAATTACATAATATTACATAATATTACATAATATTACATAATATTACATAATATTACATAATATTACATAATATTGCATAATATTACATAATATTACATAATATTACATAATATTACATAATATTACATAATATTACATAACATTACATGATATTACATGATATTACATAATATTACATAAGATTACATGATATTACATGATATTACATAATATTACATAATATTACATAATATTACATAATATTACATAATATTACATAACATTGCATAATATTACATAATATTACATAATATTACATAATATTACATAATATTACATAATATTACATAATATTACATAATATTACATAATATTACATAATATTGCATAATATTACATAATATTACATAATATTACATAATATTACATAATACATAATATTACATGATATTACATAATATTACATAATATTACATAATATTACATAATATTACATAACATTGCATAATATTGCATAATATTACATAATATTACATAATATTACATAATATTACATAATATTACATAATATTACATAATATTACATAACATTACATAACATTACATATTACATAATATTACATAATATTACATAATATTACATAATATTACATAATATTACATAATATTACATAATATTGCATAATATTACATAATATTACATAATATTACATAATATTACATGATATTACATGATATTACATAATATTACATAATATTACATAATATTACATAATATTACATAATATTACATAATATTACATAATATTACATGATATTACATAATATTACATAATATTACATAATATTACATGATATTACATGATATTACATGATATTACATGATATCACATGATATTACATGATATTACATGATATTACATGATATTACATAATATTACATAATATTACAAAATATTACAAAATATTACATGATATTACATAATATTACATAATATTTCATAATATTACATAATATTACATAAGATATTTGGTATTCATGGCATGTTTCGATGTCCCAACAAATTGCACCTTCTTTGTTCGTTGAGATTCTCAGGAAATTATCAGAGACTAGAAGGTTATATGGATTTGCCACTGCTTTCGAATTGGATTTTTATTTTTTCCACTTTTTTTTGCGGGTGTTAGATTAAATGGGCCAAAAGGCCGAAACACCGAAAAGGAAAAGATCCAATCTCGGCAGGTTTGCAGCCGCCTTTGTGCAGTAGCAGATCAGGTGCGGTGCAGAAACTGCGGGGAAAGTTGCTGAAAATCTCCAAGACGTGCGGTTTGGAAGTTTGGAAGATGGTTGTTTCAAAGCCAAGATCGGTAATCCAATTCCAAATCCATATCCATTTGTTATGAAAGATGATTGTTTCGATTGGATATGATTAACCATTAACATTATTAACCATCATTAACCACCAACCAGATATTGTTCCAAACCACCATTGGATATGATGATTTTTGACATCTGCCAAGCTGTACCTCAGACTCTTGGGACCGAATTAAAACATGTTATGGGGGCTATTAAAACATGTTATGATTTCTTGGGGGTAAAACATATGGTAAAACATATAATTAATCTATATATAACCTAAAACCCATATTAAAAAACACCCCTAATGGTAATATCATATGTTATATCGTTATATCTATTTCTGACGAGGAATCAATCTATGTTGTTTTTTTGCTTAATGGGGTAGCCGGGTAGCAACTCCATTTGTGGCCCAAATTTCATTGTCATTCGTTGGGTCGTGTCATTGTGGCCGCCTCAGGCTGGAAGCACCGGCTGGCAAGATGCCATCCAACTGTTGGCAGAGGAGCTGTGCTTTCCAAGTCGTCCCAAGGAATGAGTTGATTTTGGGAGATATAAAACGACGAAAAAGGTTTGTTTTCATAATGATTTCTTGCTAAAGAAACCGTAATTATGAATTTTATCACCAAGAAACCATCATCTTGAACCTGTTTTTTTTTGATTTTTTTCTTTCTTGGTGATATATTCATTACCACTGTGGGTTGCGGTCTCCTGAGTAGTGTTACCCCCACTTCGTGCAGCTCACATATCCAAAGCTGCTGCTGAAATCACCAACGACTGGTCGAAACTCGCAACTCTTGGTTGGCTAAGCATCCAACTATTGCGTTCAATCTCCTAATTTCGGCTTGTAAGGTCCCAAATCCCGAGATTTTCCTAGGAAAATGCCAACGGCTGCCAACATTTTTGACTTGTCTTGCTGGCCAAATGTCGTTTTTTTTAATCCCGTCTGACAGACGTTCTCCAGGCACAGCGGCAGCGGAGCGCCTCCATGGAGGCCATAGCCACGTGTGAAGTGGTGCCGATGCATGGTGATATACTGAAATTCGAATATTCTCCAAGGATCTCCAAGTTTTGGAAGTTTTTTTTTGTCTGAAAATCGGTGATCGCAACATCTGATGGTTCAAAAATCGTGCCCTAGGCCTTTGAAGATGCTGCGGAACTCTGCAGGTGCGGGTTGTGTCATGGCTAACCATGGAGGCCAGCAGCAAATCATGGGCGAAATTCCAAGGTCTAAGTCACTTGGATGATTTTTGTTGGCCGATTTTTTTGTCGCTGTCTCCCATCTCAGTGTTTTTGGCTACAGCATTTTAGTCTTGTCTTCTTTCTATCAAGTCATCCCTGACAATCCCTCAAATCATACACTTGGATGATGGGAACATATGGGAACATTTGCATGCCAATCTGAACGCAGGATTCAGGATGCCCCGCGTGCTGCACCACGCGTGGAGAAGCTCCTGGAGGAGGCTCGGGGTGAACCAAAGCAGATATCAACAACCAGGATTTCAAATAGGGATTTCAGCCACAAGCATGGGTTTGAAGACCCACAACAAACGGCGTAAACTTCGCTTATTCTTTGGGGTTCAAAGCGTGCAAGAAGCACGTATTGCCATATTGATACATTACACTAGTGGGAACGCTAACCGGCAACGATGATAGGGATACCAACGCGCCCAGTATTCATTGGAATAGCAGTAAACGAGGATGGTGATGAATTTTAATCCAATCTATTAAACACCCTCCCAGAAACCATGGTTTAGTATGGTTTAGTAGGGATAAAAACATATATTTGGGACCATTCAGGCGGTAATTTTGGGAGGATGGGATAATCAAGGCAAACGCCGCGCACAGGCGAGGCAGTCCAAGCTGAATCCTACACGACGTCTGTATGAAGGCTGGATGCCGAAAAAGTCGTAGAGCTAGCCGACCCATTCCGTGCAGATTCAACTGGTGGGTAGTTTCCAGGGCTCCAATGAACGTGAATAGTAAACAAGAACGAAATTATCACCATTACTACCATTCTCATCATTAATTTCTTGTTATGACTCCAGAGCGTACCCATGAAATCAGCGTGGTTTTGCCGTCACACAAAACCGATAAACCGACCGCCGCTCAGCTGTGGTGATGAGCTACGGCGATGCGGAAAGCTGGGAGCAAGCCTTGTTTTGGTTATTGGAAGCGGGGGCCCAGGGGGCCCAGGATGCTGGAGAGCTGGACAAGCCACGAAATCCAGAGAAATGAGAGAGATAGCGTTATAATTTTACAATAGACACCTGCAAAAAGGCGCATACACATTCATATTTACTGTATGTTTATGTATATATGTACACTATACGTATATATGCCTATCTACACACACAGAGATGTATCTATCTATCTATCTATCTATCCATCCATCCATCCATCCATGCATCCATCCATCCATCCATCCATGCATGCCCCAATGATATCATCCATCCATGGCAGCATTCCGCAGCTTGGCCCAGTGTGATGCAGAGATGGGGATCCAGCAATGATGCCACGACTGAAATGAGACACATTAGATTTTGGCCAGTAAAAAACACGAATTTCATTGGGAAAACACACATCATAGAGATTTTCGCCCAAAAAACAGGGGCTGTACTAAAAAACAAAGTGGATTTGAGTAGCAAACATGAGAAATTCTTGGCAAACATGTTCTTTTTAGTCCTCCTCAACTGCTAGCAACCCAGAAGATACCTAATCTCTTCAATTCTTGGGCAAGGAGTTTCTCGCCAACAAAGACACAGAGTCAGAAACGCAGATCGGAATTCCAGCAGAATCCCATCCATAGCTCTGGGCATTTTTGACGCCCCGGTCGGGTTTTTTTCGACCGGAAGCCACCGGGGGGTTCCCGTCCTTGTCGTCTCATCGTTTCGTTGGAGACTGGTTCCACAGCTGCCGCTGCTCGCCCCCGCGAGTGACGCGGCGGTGTAGCCATGGCCAACTCGTTGGAAGAACCTCTGCAGGCGCGGAAGAGATGGGACTTCACCATCAAGAGATTTTGCCAGCATAAATTTTTGATTTTTGACAAAACATAGGGAAGAAATAATAATTTAAAGTAACAAAAATGAGGATGGTAACCAACAACAATTTGGTAGTTTGGGGTTGTGGCTCTACCATTGATGTCGATTTTTTTTCCGAATAGCGGAATGGACCTGGGATGATGTCAGCTACGATGCGACCATAGAGGGCCCTGGCCAGGATACAGTCACTTCCACATGATTTCATTGATTTTCACCATGAAACACTATGAATCCCCTCATGAAACCTCTCTATTTCTGTTGAAACTAAGAACCAATTGACCTTAAGATGCCGCCAGGGTTCGAGCACTCCACAGCTCTTCAGGCTGGGAGATGCCAAGATCTCCGAACTGGGAACTTGAGTACAATCCCCAATCCAAGTAGAATCATGCCAAAATTTCAAGGGAATTCCTCAATTTAAAGACCTCTTTGGTGGTAAAATCATGCAAAGGTTTCGCGAGATCACTCATGCTCCAGACATTTTGCTGGCGAATTTGCATTTTTTTTTACGTTGACGTTTTTATTGACTATCCTCTTTTCATTCCACCTACTGCACACTTCTGCAGGTGAAATTGCCAACTTTTCTGGTGAAGTGCAATTTTCGGCTAGTCAACTTAGGTTCAATCCCCATACTTGCAGGTAAAACATGGTAAAACCACATGGCTTCATTCATTTTCATCAGTTTCTCTAGCTACTAAACCACATTTTTCCCAACTCTTGTGGTGGAATTCCCCAGGCCCCGTCGTTCGTCGTCGCCCTCGCGCCAGCCGATTATCACCTGTCGAGTGCTCACGAACTCGCGTGCCCGTGGCATGAAGGGATGTGGCAAAATGGTGATGTAGTATTTACAGTGGTAATAGTACTATATATTGGTATTTGATATATTGTTTTTTTTTCATGGTATTTATAATATATATATATATATTGGTATTTGATGGTGTTATATGTATATATATATATACATATGTAGGTATTTGATGGTATTCAGCGGTATTTGGTCGGATATTTGATGGACAATTTTAAACGGATATTTAATGATTAGGTTTTTTCTTTAATGGTCTTTATATATATATATATGGGTTTGTCTGAAAATAGTGTACCCCTAAACCCAATGGTTAATGATCATTATCCCTATGAACGTACCTGATGGTATTTTATGGTATTCAGTGGTATTTAGTGGGATATCTCATGGAATATTTTTGGGATATATATATAGAACCAACAAACATATGTGCCATGGTCAAAAGTCAAAAATTATGTATATAGCAATATTGTGGGATGACCACCAATCCATTGCTAGAGAACTATACTAATGTAAGTGTTTCAGTTATGGGACAGATGACCATACCACACATACCATGTTTTGACCATGGAACAGGTGAGTATATCATACATAGATGTTCAATTTTTCTTTTGTGTAGATGTGTATGTATAGCATGTGCAGGCATTCATGTACTTCATGCATATGGTCCGCATGTAATGCACCCTAATTTAACTTAAACTGAGTTTAGTGTAGCTTTGTGTATGGATCTATGAACATGATTAGACCCGCAAGACGATTGTGAGACACGGGGTACGTCCCACATTTCCAGGGATCGTACCGGCTGTTGGCAGGTTGGTGAACAGTTGATTTTTTCCGATCATTTGGGTCTGGGTCAAAACGATCAACCCCCAACATGAAGTTTACCCTCCGGTAAACATACAAAAAACTATGGAAAACCACCATGTTTCATGGATGAATCCACTATTTCGACTGGGCCATGGCTTCAATAGCTATGTAAACGTTTACCAGAGGGTAGTTGAAGTAAGACCAGCCATTTTTGGGGTTGTACCCAAGAGACTCCTTCCACCCACAGCCCAATGGCTGGTTTAGTCCTGATTGTATCCTATTCTCTACCCGTTTGATCCCAAAATGATGCCATTATCTCCCCCATTGTCCTGCTTCATTATATGATCAACTATAACTATGGTTAATGATGACCATAGTCCCCTATGAACTATGGTTAATTAATGTTGATTCCCCAACTATCCACCATCGCTACACTTTGCATCCAACTTGTAGATCCAACTGACGAAGCCAAAAAGGCGATGTTCTTGCCACGCCACCCCGACGCTTGAAGCCGCTGGGTTTTTTCCAGGACGGCACAGGACGGTCCCATGTGGATGGTTAGGTAAGGACAACTATTGAATCTATGGTAATTGGTTTTATAAGTTGTCCTGGAACCATAGTTGGATTATAACCGTGGATCAACAACTGAAGCAGCAGCTGCTAGGCAAGACCTTTTTCGTCTCGCCCTTGAGCCATTTTGCAATGGCAGTCATGTTTCATCCTTGTGCAGTGGCCATGCTATGGTTGGTGCATGCCACCACATGTCAACTTCTAAGTTTTTAAAATTCCACAGGGACTGGTGAAGTGCTTGGTGAATCGCACTCCCCCCCGCAGCCACCTGCGGAAACTCACAAAAGCTTAGCCAAAATGGCTATCGTAGCCCGGCTCTCAGCAGCGCTTTTCCAGGTCTTCATTGTTTTAGGGCTCCTCCTCATTCACATTGGCATCATCTGACTCAGGGTCGGTCAGCAAAGACCACTCTTCGACATGGGAGACGAAGGAGTCAGGGACCCTTTGGCTAGAGTCTGAGCTCAAAGTGTTGGTGACGTCCCATTCCACGGTCAGGGGGACGTAGGACTTCGGCAGCGAGCCCAAGTCTGAACCCGTAGAGGAGGGCATAGCAGCGACCCCACGTTGGATCACACCACCACGGCTATATCCTACCGTGGGTGCTCCAGAGGTCTTGTTGTGTTGGCTGGTCGGCTCCAAGAGGGGAACCAGCCGCAGCTCAGAGGAACCACCACTTGACACGGTTCCGCTCTGACTGCTGGCCAAACAACCATCCAGGTACAAGCGTCCAACCATCAAACCAGGAGCTTGTTGTGGTCGGTGACGTCGTGGCGTCTCCATTTCATAGTGCTGTCCCACGTGCACGTCTAGGTCATCATCTTTGGGCACCTCAGTCTGGGGCCATGGAGGGTCTTCTGCAGTTGCAGCCGGCTCCAGCTGGATGCTCAGGTTCATCTTTTCCATGACTTCCCGCCTCATTGTCAGGAAGGTGTAGCCGATCCATCGTGACTCGGCTCTGACGACCGGATCGTCCCATCGGTCAGCAACCAAGAACCCCACTCCATCAGCAGGATTCACAAAAAAGGCTTTTGTGACCCTTTCACCAGTCAGGAATTGGGCTTCAATTGGTGCCGAACGGTGCAGTGGATGAAACCTCTGTTTCCTCGGTGACTTGTGTACTTTGACCAAGAAGATTTCTTCCCCGCACTTCGCAACGGACCAAGAGTCCTTTTTTCCTGTGGTGTTCGGCTGGAGGTACCGACTATCCAGCCAGGGTCCATGCCTTGGCATACCGTCCAGCATGGTTCCACCAGCAGCCTTCTGAGCCATTTCTGCATCTCGACGGGCTGGAGGAAACTTCGGCAAAGCGCCGATGTAGGGTCCCCTTATTTCAGAGGAGCTTGAAGGTGCACCCATCGCCGCAGCGCATTGCAGCATCATCGGCGGCGCTTTGCGGCGCACAGCTGCAGGCTTAGGAGCGGCCTTTGGAGCAGCAAAGCCCGGCTCTTGCGGCGGCAGCGGCGGCGCAGGTTTGGACATCTTAGGGGCCATGGCAGCTAAACGCACGGCCGGAACTTTTGGGCAGCCCGTAGGGCAGTGGTAGGTATCAGCCAACAGTGGCTGCAACATTTCAACAGCATCTTCAGAGTCACCACCAACGGACTCAAAACTGTTGTGCGCCATGCCACAGCTGTTTCCTGCCACAAAATCCCCAAAACCAGGACCTTCTTCGGGGTTACTGTCCCAAAAATCCCTTCGACTTTCATAGGTTCGGTGAGCCCAATTACCATTTTCAGGGGTTCTATCCCAAACCTTCCCAAAACTGTTTTCTCCAGGTTCATCTTCCCTTGGAGATCTCACACATTTTTTGGTTCTTATTTGAGGGTTTATGCCTCCAGGTTCATTTTCCCTTGGAGGTTTTTCTTTGGCCGGTTCATCTCCCCTGGCATCTTTTTCGCTTTTGAGGCCAATGGCTCTTGATGGTTTTTCCACCTCCCTCCCATCTAAACAGATCCCATTGGATCGGCCTTCATTTGAAGGCGATGGCTGCCAGTTGCACGCCAGCCATCCAGCGCAGGCAGCAGCAGCAGTAGCACAGGCCAGCCGCACGTCAGCTCGTCCAGCTGCCGTAGAAGCCACAGCCAGTGCAGCCATAGCCACGATCACCTTCACCTTGGTCACCACATCATCAGATCCCTTAGTTTCATCAGGTCCTGAAGTGGCGGTTGTTTTGGAAGACCCTTTGGAGGCTTTTTGAGGTGTGTTTTCGGGGTCATATTTGGGGATTGACGCATCCACATGAAACCCAAGGAAATGCCAGAACTTAACCCAATCCCTCAACAACGTGATTGGTTTGGTGAGCATGTCAGCGGGTAGATCAACTCCCCTTTGGTGTCTGACTTTCCATGTTTGGGGGTCACTTTTCAACAACTCACGCAAGCAAGACGAACGAAGCCTCAAATGGCGTGTTCTCCATCCACCATCAGGGTTCATAAGTATGCTAAGTGCACTTGAATTGTCCCCATAAATAACCTTTTCAAACCCATCAAAACCATCACCCGTATTGCATGAACCGTGGATAACCTTCAATAGGGCTTCAGCAGATTTCAACATTGTTGTGGCTTCGCAGTATCCAACCAATTCGGATTCCGCTGTGCTCATGGTGTGAAATGCCTGCCGAGTTGCCTCCCACTGAATTGGAGATCCTGCAGCACATAGAATGATGCCCTGGTGACTGCGGTCACCTTGAGGAGCGAAGCTGATATCGGCGAAGGCCTCAATGAGCTTCTCATGCCTTGGTACCTGAAGTGTGCCATGTGCACCGTGGTCCTTGTTGCAAGGGCGGTACAGGAGGCAAGTTTCTGGGGTGTTACACAAAAACCCTAGCACATGTTGTCCCAACTGTTGGACCCACCTTGGTTTTCTAGTAACATTCCTTCCCATGACACTTACAGCATAGGCTATGTCAGGCCTACTTCTCACAGAAAGCCAAAGCAGTTCACCTGTGATTGCTTGGGCTGCACGGACGTCAGGTGTTGTGATATCCGTTTCATCCGTTTCTGAACTGTCCAGTTTTGGCATGGGGCATGACTTTGGGGAAACATGTTCATGACGTTTCAACAACTCAGCAGTGTAAGACTTTTGTCCTACCATCAGACTCACCCCATCATCATGTCTTTTCAACTCAAAACCACAAAACCGGATCCATTCATTTTTGTCAACAGTTTCGACATCGGAACACTTCCATTCTTTTTTCAACCGGTCAAAAAAGGAGTTTCGAACATTATCATTTGCAAGAGCCATGATGTCGTCCACATAAGCAATAACATGACCTTCACATGTTGGTTCGGCATCCCCATGACCATGTTTCATGATTTTCCACAAGTTCCCTTCTTCGGTTCTTTTGAGGGAAAAGTCACAACCATCCATCTTCCATTTGAACCCACTCATGACCTGATCCCTGTGCACCGCCCAATGTGCGGGGCTTGAAGTGAACCCATATAAAGCATTATGAACTCTCCACCGTTCAGAAGGGCTGCAAACTTTGGCTTCCACAAGTATTTTTGGGGGCACAACAATCACCTCCCGGGCATCTTGAGGTTTCGGCCGAGGAGCAAGGAGAAATGCTGTGCGAATGTCGGTAATGCCAGCGCCCCATCCCATCTGCACGGAGTGAGCCAGTGTAGCTCTGATCAGAATGCCATCAGCGCCAGAAGCGTAGAGGTTGCCCGGAGCAGGATCCAAGTCACTTTGCAGCAGGTTTCCACAAACTACTGCTCTACATTTCTTTTTTCCACCATTTGGACCCGCTTTTCGAACAGTCACAAGTTTTCCAGGAACAAACTCAACCGCTTCTTGGTTCAACATGGAAAGGTCAACAGGTTCAATGGCCTTGGTTTCATGGACCAAACTGTTGTATTCTTTCATCATCGCATCTTTCCATTCCCCAAGTTCATTTCTGACTTCATTCAAAGGGATTGTGGTTGTTTGCAAAATCTCCCCCGGACCCTGGTTCAAACCTTCATCAGTTTGCAGTCCACACATTTTGACAACCCTTTTGTTTTGGGCATCCTGAACCAAGAAGAGATCGTTTTCCAACCGTTCTTTTTCCCCTTGAAGCCATTGGATATCAGCCCCACAAATTTCCCCAAGAGATTTCGTGGTGGGAACAACATCCAACAGGTCTTGTAATGAACTGGAAATGGTTTGATGTTTCCAACCCAAACATTTTTCCAAACAATCCAAAGATTCCAACTTGGCAACAACCCTTGATTTCGTCCCCAAACCAAAATTTTCAGGGTTTTTTGGGTGGCTATCTCCCCCGGACCCAGCTTCAACATTCAACCCCTTAACAAACCGTGGTGCCTCCCTAAGGTTTTCTTGGTCGATTTCATCAAAGATCCCCAACATTTCATCCCCATTATCCCCATGTTCACCATCAACCTCAAGAACAACTTCATTTCGGGGTTCATTTTCAGGGATTTTTTCAAGTTGAGAATCCAAAACCAAAGAGGACTCCCCCCCGCGATCCAATCGCGGCAGTGGCGGCAGTTTCATGGGTGCTGGTCCTGGAGGTGGCTGCTTATGCCAAAGACGCAAGTGAGGTTTGCCAGGCCGCAGGTCTTCTTCAAGTTGCAGTTGGGCTTGATCGCCCAGTGGATCTGGCAGTATGGCCTCACGAGCATGCAAAACATGTTGGTCCTTAGTCGTTCGGACAAGCCAACCTGAAGTCATGTCAGGGCTTGGACACAACAAACGTGTTTCAACAAAAGGTTGAGCCAACAAATTCCCTTTATCATGCCATCTTTTTCTTTTGACCAAAACCAGGGAATTGTACGGCAACATTTTTTGAACAGGGGAACCAAGGAGCTCCATCTGTTGCCTTAGTCGTTCCTCAGTGGCAAATCGCATGGCCTGTGGCCAATGTGTGTTGTCCTGACCTGCCATGTGAAGCAACAGCCTGGTACGCCTTTTAAGTTGGTTCACCTCGGCCTCACAAT